GGTAGGACAGAAAATGACTTCTATACTTTTAAAATTTGCACAAAATTTAGGAGGTCTTTAGACCGAGCCAACTATAGTAAATATGATAATTATGGGAGTAATAATAACACCAGTGAATAATATTAGAGCTAGAAATAATAATAATGATCAGCAATAATAGATAGCATTAGTATGGTTGGTGGCTCGGTCTAAAGACCTTCTTGTGCTGCGCCACGCGCTCAAATTTCAAAAAAGGGCTTCGCGTGATTTTGTTTAAATAAACAATATATTTTCTAGTAATTTTAAGTATAAATAAAGTATAAATCAAGTATAGTTTAAGTGTGTAATTTAAGTATGATAAGTAGAAAATCATGCTTATTTTCTACTTAAATTTGCAAGAAACGAGAATGTTTTAAGCGTTTCCCCATAATAGTCAAAATGTGCTTAAAACATACTTATTTCATGCTCAAAACATTAATTAATTTTTACTTAAATTGTGTTTTGAGCATGAAATAAGTATGTTTTAAGTGTGCAAACTTTGCATAGGGTCAGAAGAGGATAAATGTGATAGATGACGATATATGATAAGAAAGGGACACGACTAACCACATTTTTATGTGTATTTTTTCACAAAGAACATTTTTTGCTTAGAAACCATGCCCGTGTTGCTTGGTAATTTGAAAATTTGGCCTTTTTCGCCAATTCTAAGGGATTTGCTATTGTTTTTAAAAGTAAATTTTATTATGCAAAATGGGTATGGTTTCTAAGCCAAAAACATTTCATCTAAAGAGGGTGGTATTAACTCAAAATCGTGATTTTCGACGTTGTCTTCGTTTCCGTTGAAAGGTCCCATATTAATATTTGATAGCTTTTGGCGAGTTTACATGTAACAATTACCAGTTTGCACATTTTGTTCATTTTAGAGATTATCAGATAATAGAGAAGTTTCGGTTGACGAGAATGAGAATAGGCAAGAGTAATTATTTTGAAAATAATTATTATATATGACGTTAAATTATATATGAATTCAACCTAAAGAAAAGATTGTAGTTTTAAATATAAGACAAAAAAAGCTAGTTTTTGTTAATTAAGTAAATATATTCAATTAGGAAAAGCTTTAATGACAAAGATATTAATTAATTAATTAACATAAATTATATTTAATTTTAATTTTTTGTAAAATAAAATTTATTTACATTTTAAAAAAACCATTTCTTTAAAACATTCTGGATCATTGAAGGTACAATTAATTAATTAATACTGCCAAGAAATAACTAAAGATATTTCTGATAATTGGTTTCAAATTTGAGTAAAGGTGAAACATCAATTAAAATTTTTTGCTTAAAGGTTTTTCTTTTGCTGATATATAGTTGACAACTTTACAAAAAAAGTTGAAATGAAAAAATCCACAATGCAGAAAAGAATTAAAAAGTTCTTGATTTCTAAATATAATTATTTTAATTATTTATTTAATTAATTAATTAAATTATTTATATTAATTTTTATAAAATTTTTTTATTTCTTGTAAATTAAATAAAATTTTATCATATTATTTTATATATATTCCCAATTGTCAAACTTTTTTTAATTAAACACGTGAAGGATATAACATCTTTTATTTATTAAGAAAAAAAAAAAGAAATTTTTTGTTAAATTCAAATATGTCCAAAATATTGATCAATAAACACATGATATTAAATACACTTACAACTCTTACACTAGCACCAAAAGTTTTTGCAGGAAGGTTAGTTCTAAACCTGACTTTTACTACTCCACCATTACCATGAGGTCTATATGTGTATATATATATATATATTTGTGCGTGCTTTAAAAATAAAATCCCTGTCTAATAAAATATATTTTCACTAATAAATATGAAAAGCTACCTTGAAACACGACCCCAAATTACACGAATCTTGCTACCATTTTTCTTTAATTTTTCATTAAAGATTAAAAAAATCTTATTAATTCACAAGTTATAAGAAATGCACCCAAACATTCAATGCTAAATTATTTTTAACTTACCTCACGCTTGGCACGATATACAAAGGCAACACGTTTCCCAAGATAGAACTGAGTCTCCTCTTTCGTAGTTACTCCTTCAATTTTAATTAATGTAGTATTTGGTGATTGATTTCTTTTTGCCCGTTTAAAACCAAGGATACGGCCTTTAGAATAAAGTCTGTTTATTTATTTTAAAATTAATTACATATCCTTGATTTCTTTTCTTCCCTCCTAATTTTTTTATAATAAAAACAAACCTAATCGATTGACGATTTCCCGGCATTTTGAAATTGGGTCAAATATTGATTTATTCAAAAAATTCAAAAAAATTTTTTTTTATCTACACTCAGTTACACAACACAAGATGATTTGGGGGTGGGGCAGTATGTCAATCAATAGAGTCGCACGATTTTTAATTTGACAATCATTTCAAGATCAGAACAAACCAAAATATTGGTACTGTTGTAAAGAATTTTCTTGAAAATTATGCTAAATTTCACGAATTATCGAGTATAATAAGCAATGCCATATTCTTACACAGACACTTTCTTGTAGGCCTTGAAGGAAAAGATGATTTTTTACCCCTCTTTTTTGGTATGACTGGCCTTATCCATTAAGTTTTGCAGAGGCGATCGTTCGAGCATATTAAACAAAAGAACCCAAGCATACCGCATATGAAGTATTCCCTAGAGTTGTATCGAAAATAGATTTTGAAAATAATTATGATTGTCCGTGATCCTATTAGAACTATATTAATATGTATAAATTAGAAGGGATTTACGAATCTTGTTACCAACTCTGGAAAATAAAACGGTTCGCTTTGTTTTTCAAAGTCGTAATCAAAACTTTTGTGGAAAATTTTGATTGTTACTTTTGCAAGGTAGTTACAAAAGAGTAAAGCTCCGGTAAATGTATCGATTCGGTATAGAAACAGATTACATTGTTGTTTCGGTATAGAAACAAGGGAACGTGATATATGACCTTGGTTAAAGTGCTTTGGTTAAAAGGCAATTTTAAAGTAGAACGTTAACATTAGACGGCTAAAAAGTGACACAAATAAGCCAACATATTCAAGCGTTTGAATGAGGTCAGCTTACAATTGGTTAATAAATAGATAAATCGTGCTAAGGATTAATTAAAGGCACCAACATTTAATAGATAGGCTAGTCGGAGATCACGGTTAAAAATTTTTTATTTATACAATTTTTTGTTTTTTTTTTTGAAACAACCGAGTTTTATTTTTTTATTTTTTATTGATTTTTTTCTCGACGACCCACCAGGAGAGACACACATCAGATTCTTCCGACATTGAGAGTTTGTTGAATGAGAATGCCCAGTATAATTGATTTATATATAAGTTTTTGAGTGTATCCACACTTGAATGAAATACATTATGGATTAGATAATAAAACATTAGAGTTATGAAAATATATAATTACAAAATAAAATTAAAAAAAAGTCTGTTAAATTATTATTGATTATTTTGATTCAGTTGTCGTTATTGTTTTGGTTTTGGTGTTGGTAATGGACGTCCTCTAGGTACATGACTATATTCCTGACTTATTGTTAACGCAGGTTCGTTAAACTGATAATCTTGAATCGGCAATGGTGGAGATAATTGTTTTCGCATTAATAAAGTGAGACCTGAAGGACCTGTGGGAGAAGATACTAAGTCATCGTTTCTTTTAAAAGAATTATCGGATAAAGTTTGATCGGATGATGGTGGTATCGGAATTGCCATAGTTGTTGATGTACTTTTATGTTCCTGTTGTCGTTGTTGTAGTTGTTGTAGTTGTTCGTAACTGGATCCAAAAGGAACGATGGGCTTTGGATGATGCGATTGAGAATGCGGAGAAGCATTAATTATTTCTTGTGATTTGTTTAAATGAGACCACGGTGAAGAAGAAGCTTCTATCATTTTTGAAGCCTCATTACTGTTATTATTATTATTATTATTATGATTATTATTATTATGATTATTATTATTATTATTATTATTATTATCAAGTAATGCTGGACTGGAAAATTCAGGTGAGCTATCATTATTTTGATTTTCGAGCCATTTTTCAATATTAGAAGAAGGGTCAGGCGGTGATGGAATAAATTCATATTCGGAAGTAGGAGGAGACATTTGATCATTAAAAGTCCCAAAACCTCCGAATTTCGACGATGAAGGATTTCGATTTAGTTGTGTAATATCATAAGGTCTATTTTGTAATTGACCTTGTTCCTGAGTAGTGAAAGATAAATATCTTACACGATCAAAAGCTGGTATATATGCATAAGGAGAAGCAGGAGCTAATGGAGGGGATTTGTGAATTAATTTTGAAGGACTTGTAGGAGACATTTGTTTAGGTTTATTAGCAATATTTAATATTGATGAAGCGAATGAACCAAGTTTTTTCGGGCTTGCAGATATAAATACAGAGCCAGGAGATGATGCTTTTGGTGAATTTTTCCCAACACCATCATTTTCAACATTTGACCATGGAAGTATTCCGCTGCTGCCTTTTTTAGAGGGTATATTTACAGGTGATGATACCTGACCAAGAACTTCGTCGTCATCTTTTCTAAAATCTTCGACAAAAAAATCAGCATTTTCATCAATCATATTATAATGATTTGGAAAAACATTCTTATCGATATTAGCGATTGGTGGTGGTTGCGATGATGAAGAATGTGCAATAAATACAGGTAGATAAACAATGAGATCCTTACTAAAAAGGAAATCAATAATTAATAAATTTTGTTTTTGTTTGTTCCGTATATATATATATATATGTATATGTATATGTATATGTGTTTTTATATCATACGTACGTAAAAAGTCCCAGGTATAATGAGACAACAACGTAACAAACAACTTCAAACAATGCAGTATTTCTTATTGTTCTTACGTTTTTCTAAAATAAAATAAAAAATAAAATTATTACTACCACTATTATTTTATTACTATTATTATTATTATGATGATGATTGGTGATGAAACTTACCGGAACATCAATATGAACGGTGGTAATACGATCTTCACCACAATCAAATAAAAAATCTTTATTTTTGTACCATTCTTCTTTGACTGTCTCGCCAACAACCTTAACATCGTCAAGTTCTTTTTTTGTTTTATTGGCAAGTATATGAAGTTTATGAGTGATGGCAACCTTAATTCCTTGAACCTATTTCGTATAATCCAAATATATTATAATTGAATGTGCGTATAAAATGAATTCGATATATATAATATAGATATAGACATACTCTTCTTTTAGTTTCGTTTTTTACTCTGATTTGTACACTGATATTGGCACCACTTTGAAAAAACGTTTCAACCAATCTTGCTTCCAACATAATGGCACCTGATCCACCCAACCATAACTGTCTCATATTCATACCTTCTACAGGTTGTTTATATATAGGATTATTAATATCCCAAGCTTCCACGACGAATGCTTCTTTGGACTTGAAAGTTGAATCTTCTTTATTATTGATTTTATATTGAACAACACTAATGGTAATATATTGATTAATTAATTAATCAATTAATTAATTAAGAGCAATTATTTTTATTATCAATATTACTAGTATTATCATTTACCATAATTTAAAAAAAATAAAGATTTATATGATTACCCAGTAACTATATATTTTAAACACGCATTATTTCCGTATGTAACACAACTTGGAGCATCAATTGGAATTTTGAAGGCAAAAGGAAAGGTCGTTTTTCCTTTTTTAGCAGTCCAAAACCCATCTTCTTTTGGACCATATACAGCATTTGAGGGAGGTAAAGTGGAACTTTGAAAAACCAATCTTGATGATAAGAAAGATTGAGAAGCGGTGTACTCTCTTGTTGTTAATTCTAAATCGAAGATGTATATATACACAATACATATTATCAAATGACTTTCCCAATTCTAAAATATAACAATAGTGTATGTGTATATCTACCTTCATAGGCTGTCAATTCAACTGAAATTTCACCTAATTTCAATGAACGTGAAGACAAACTTGATACAACCAGTCTACCGGATAAGTTTGTACCAGCAGTATAAACGGTAGAATCCAATAAAACATGTATTTTTAATTTAGATATTTTTCCAAGGGCGGTTGTTGTAGGTTTGAAGTTAATGTTTGCTTGATCTGGAGGAAGCAAGGAATAATTTGAGATTGCAGTCGGGGAGATAACAGAATTAGCACCAATACCACCAATATCATCACTATTATTGTTACTATTGTTATGGTTGATGTTATAGTTTTGATCATTTTGTTGGAATGACGAAATCGATTGATCAAATACCGTGGTCATTTTTTTTATTTAATTTCAAATTTTGAAAGAAACAGTTTTTTTGAAGTCATTTAAATTTAAATTATTTAAATTTAAATTTAAATCAAAAAAATCGTACTCCTTTGTGTTACTATCCATGTAAATAACAATAAGTAAATATAATAAGAGGGGGAGAGAGTACAAAAAAATATTCTCCTGTCACAAATGATCACATTGCTTAAAGTTCAGAAAGCTCAATACGATGACTATGAAGTTAGTTCTATCTTTAGTTATTTTTAGATTGTAAAAAGTTGAGGGATTGTGAAATAATGGTCAAAGAAAAATGAAAATTGCAACAATAATTAAACGTTACGAAATGGTTGTAAGCTTAATCAAAAGAAAGAAACCTAGATATTATTAATATCTCTGATTCGAGATGTATGTGAATTGTTTACAAATGATAATACGAATTATAATTATAAGTCAAACATATATTTATACAAATAAACAAATAACAATAAATGTAAATAATAAAATGCCAAAATATTTAACTCCAATGCGTGTAAAGGTTAGATTGATGTACAATTCTAATAGTGAATTGTTGTCATTATCGTTAATTTTTGTCATTGTTGGTGCCGTTGTTGTTGTTGTTGATGTTGATGTTGTTGTTGTTGTTTAATTTTTTATCCAGTCATCAATACTTTGTATATTCCAAATGCCAATTAAATTTTTATCAATTAAATTTCTATTATTATCTTCTTCATAATCACAATTACTGCTAGTAGCTTTAAAAGTTTTCGATTCACGTTTACCATGTTTAGTAATCTCATTCTCATTACTGTTATCAATTTCACCATCTTCATGTTCATCATAATTTAAATTATCACCAGTCATCCAATTCGTAGCCCAATCCCATACGGCATTCACTAATAATTTTTTAGGCGACCATGGTGGTAATGGTGATAATGGCGAAGATGCCATTGATAAACCTTTCGTAGTTGAATATAGAGAATCTCTTTCTTCTAATGGTGGTTCATTAAATAAAATAGGTTGAGTCGAAGTTGTTACTTCTACTGCTGTTGGAGATATAGAAATATTATTATTAATATTGTCATCAACCTTTTGTTGTTGTTGTTGTTGTTGTTGTTGTTGTTTCTGCTGCTGCTGCTGCTGCTCTATTGATAATTTAACTTGATCTTTTTTTGTATTCTTTTTGTTTTTATTTGACATTGCAATAAATACCTCTGAAATATATGCATTCCACGCAACACCAGCTTTAGCATTAATCTGTTCTTTATTCAATTGATGTTTGTTTTCAATTAATATGGAAATCAAAGCTTTTGGTGGTTCCACACCCAGTTTTTCTTCTGTTATGTTAAAACATTTTTGTAGCCTTTCTTTTATTGCAGATTCATCATCATTGGGTGGATCTTTAACCAATAGATCAAAATCTTCGAACCATTCCGGATTTTTATGATGAATCAGTGCAGATAATAATACACCATTATTTAAACCTGTTAGATCTTCAATTGGATAAGAACTTGAAGGTAATACAGATGCATAGTCAACAAGTTGCATGTTTAACCAAAACAATAGACCGGATGAAGAACTTAATGATGCAGAAGAATCATTTAGACGTAATGTACGAAATCTTTTAGGTGGAAGTCGAAAATCTTTATTGGCTATTTCTGGTAATGACATTTTTCTATTATAGTTGTTCATGATGTTAACATTTTGTTTTGGATTTAGAAATATTTTTGAATGATGAATTGAACTATTATTATCAACATTAACTGGATTTTCCCCAAGATGATTATCAATATTGTTGTCATTTGATTTTTCTTCTTTTTCTTCTGAATTTTTTTCAATTTGTTCCAATTTTTCATGATCTTCATCTTCCAATATTGCATTTATTTCTTTCACTTCATCTTTAACATTATTATGGCCACCATCATTGTCAACACCACCATCATTGTTAGCACCACCATCATTGTTGATAATTGATTCTAATTTATCGATGTGTGATTCAATTGATTCAATATCCAAGTTAAGCCATAAATCAGAATTAGGATTTTTATTCCTTTTTTTATTACCATCACCAAGCCCACTATTTAAAAGTCCAGATTGAGCTTTAGCAATTGCCAACTCTTCTTCGGTTACCGCGTCTTTAAATACACTGACCATTTGATGAAATTTTGAAATAATCAGCCAAATTAAACCCAATGTCAATTTTACATTACCATCAACAATATCAACAGGTCCAATTGCTTGTAAAGCAGCCAGACCCGACTCATCTAAACGATTTTTCAAAAAGTTTAAAACATTGCTAACATTTGCAATATGATGATGTCTTGTATTACCACGTTCACGTTTTGGTAATTCTGAATCACCTTCATAAATAACTTCCAACAATTTAATCAATCTAGTACCATCTCTGAAATCTTTTTCGATTTCTTTAATTTCAGGAAGTTTGTCTGCTAAACTTTCATTTGATGAATTATTATCAGAGTTTAGAAAATCATATCTGTGAATTGAGCGTAATTGAATGTTGACCCAGCGGGTAAAGGTTTCCTTTTGAGCATCCGTGTATTTATCAATTTTATTAACATAGTATTTTTGATTGACATTCACCACATTGGTTTTGTCCCATTGCCCAAAAGATTTACGTCTTTGAGAATTATTTTGTGGCTTTGACATAATCGATTATTTTTTTAAAAAATTAAAATAGGTGTCCCCCTTTTTATTGTGTTTTGTAAAACCAAAATATTATGACGTAATGGATAATATCACGAGCTTTTGATATCTATGAAAACAATCGAGACTCCGAAAATAGGTCAAGTGTTACCCAATTAGGAAATAACACTTAAATATTAATAATATTTAAAATATGCAATTTGGGGTTCTCAACAATCTACGTAGTAATATAGTGGGAAAAACATGAGAATAAAAGTCTTATTGCAGGTTCAAATTTACGTGGATCTAAAAATGGATCTGCAAAAGTAATTCCTCGATTTGTTTTTTATCAGATTTGTTTGTGAAAAAATATTCTTTCAATATGTGCATTGGAAAAAGGCAATAAATAATTGTTAAATTTGGATGTATCCAAAATGTTTCCACAATTGAATAAAATACATTTATGTATTTTTATAGGGATGCAGATAGGATTTTAGAGAGTTCCACTCATTATTTTTTTTTTCAACTTTGTTACACAATCAAACCTTGTCACAGTGAATGAGTGGGATTATTAATCTTGCCACAACGGTTTTTATACGACAAGAATTTGATTACAATCTGCTGTGGTGAGGACCATTGTGACAAGGTTTGACTGTATTGACTACCTTTAATGTAACATGAACCCCTGTACTCAATTTCCTACACTGGTTCAATTATTATGTTCATGTGAAGGGGAAGGTAATTATGTAACATTCATTTGCTAAAATGGCAGAAACAATTTGAATTAATGTGAATGTCAAAAGTGATGCTGCTAAAAAAACATAACTAACAATTAACAAATTCAACTGCCAAAAAACAAGCCAACAATCAATTGATCTTAAAGCATCACAGCATCACATTGGAAAGTAGACAGCTGTGAAAAGGATCCTAAGTACATTTCCTTTTTTAATGATTTTAAAATCTTGATTTTTATGTGTAACATCTATTATCTCTTTTATTATATTAAAAAATATTTCTTTTGCTTATTAATTTATGCTAAAGTATAATAATAATATGTATTTATGCTTTACTTTAAAACTATCTATTATTGTTGTTCATTTTAAGTACATACAATCAATTCATTAAACAATTCTCTATCTATGTCTTCCCTTATTTCGGGAACTCTTGATGATGTAGTCTTTTGTTCCAGTTCCATTTGGAGATTCCTTAAAAATAATCTGGATCTTCCTTTTAAGAAAAATTCCAAGTTACTTTTGAATGATTTTAAATTCTCTCTTTTAAATAGAATTTTAGAATTAATGATGAATGTTAGAATCATTGGACTGGTTATTTCCGATTTTTGTCACGTGTAACTTATTCTAAATCATTTCCGATTTATTTTCAAGTTTGATAAATAAAAATACTTTATTCTTGGAGGTAAGCATTATTTTTTCATTATATAAAAGTTTTTGTATTAGAATTAAATGTATAAAACCTTATTATTGTGCATTAATAAAATTATGACAAACACTTTGAATTGGATTCATGAATGCTATTATTATTCCGTCAATCATTGATAAATATGAAATTTTCCTCTGATTGGCTAATTTGAATTTAACATGTGTGAATCATTTTCACGCACAATCTTTGCCTTTGACTTCCTTTTTTACCTCTAATAGTACATGAAAGTCTCAAAAGTTTGATTCAACCAAGAATTAAAGGAAGTTTCTTTTATGAAATATTTGATTCAGCTACTTCAGATGCAGATATAGGAAGAACAGTTAGAGTTTCAGTTCGTGCAAATGATACAGATCCATGAAAACCTGTAGAAAGAAGGATTAGATTGCCGAGTGATGCTAATGAAGTCACTTAAATTTTTTCAAGTAAAATTTATGCTTGTTCCTGAAGAAACAACCCATCAATGGACTCCACCACCAAATTTACCAAATTCCTTTGAAAAAATCACGAGTACTGAGGTTAAACTTCCTGCTCAAAAAGAAGACTCTATAATAATGAAATTATATTAATCACAGACCGTCTTTAATTCAATCTGAACTCAATTCAGAAGTAGCATATATTTCTCTCTATCTTAGCAACTGCAAAAATTCGTGACTATATTAAGTACCCATGTTTGTTCAAAAATACGTTGTTTATATTCTGGACACAAGATTAACTTCTGAAAAAATTGAATCTCTGTGAATTATTAAAGAACCTTTGATTATTCATGTGATAGGCCGATTTTTCCAGAAGAACATCCATTTGCAACCAAAACCTGGGCCCCGTATTCATATTTCATGTGGTTCTCCAATTGAATGGCTGTATTGTACTTCAAGAAAAAGTTGTAATGTGGTCAAGACAACAAGTCAATAAATATTCCTCAAGAATTTAGTGATAAACTTAAATTAGTACATCATACGTGGTAAAATAAACTTTAATGAACTCGTTGTTGTTAGACTTAACATGTGACTTTTGTTATGATTGGTCACATGAAATGTAAAACAAAATCTCTCGCAGATATAAATATGAATTTCAATTTTTTCTATATTTTTTTTGTATTTTAACAAAATCGATATTTATTACTATATAATCATTAGGAATAATCAGACCAAAAAATTTGTCAAAATCTCTTTAAACACAAACAAATTTTATAATTTTATATATTTATTTTTTCTTCTTTTTTATTTTCCTAATATCTTTACTAGTAATCTCTGGTAATGCTCCTTCTGATTGAACAAAATCTAAATCGTAAATTTCTTCACCAAATTTTTTCTTAAATTTAGACAATTGTCCACTTTCATCACTCAAATGACCTGAAAATGTTTCAGGGTTCCACAATGGATGATTACGAGTATCTCGTATTAATTTGATTAATGGTTTAGGCGATGTTGTCCGCATTGTAAAAGTAGCTCCATTTGATAAAACAATTTGTTGTGTGAATAATTCTGGTCTTGATTTAATTGGTTCTCTTTTTAGCTTTTTTTTGCTAGAGTAATGATTAAGTTGGATTTTGAATAAATTGTTTGTTGTTTTGATTGATAATAATGGTGATAGTAATAAAGATGGACAAGATGACGACGATGATGGTTTAAATAAATACTTTGAAAAAATGTGCTTTGATGGTATCGAAGGAATCATTTTTATAATCTGTTTGAAAAGATTTTTTTTTTAAGTATTAATATATTATTTTTTTTTTTGATAATCAAGCTTCAGTGATCAGCGATGGTCGTATCGTGTAACATCTATCAACTTTTTATAAAAACAAGAAATATGAATCCATTTAATAAAACCATTACAAATAATTTTATTAGAAATTACGTTAGAAAATTTAAAAGCATTCAATCAAATAAACGCCATTTATCCACTAATTCTTCAAATCAAAATAATTATAAAGAAATCCCATTTTCAAGTACTAATATCATTATTATCATTACCACATTATTTATTAAACTACATCTTTCTTTTTCTCTTTATTAATATATCTTTTATTTTTAGAACGATTAAAAGAAGCATGGAACAAAACAGAAATTAAATGGTATCCTATACCAATTGGAATTGGTATAGGAGTCATAGCTTTACAACAATCAAAACATATTTATGAACGTGAAAAAAGTAAAAGGGAGGAAGAGATTGTTAATGATTCTACTATTTCACCGAGAAAAAAATCAACTATTGTTGGTCCATTGCAAGTATGTTAAACTTTTTATTTTTATTTGTTTTCTTTTTTTTTTTTTAAAATTTATTAAATTAAATTAAAAAAAAAAGTTTAATATAGGTGCATGTTATAGGTGCACTTCCTCTACGAGCAATATCAAGATTATGGGGTAAACTAAATAATGAATACGATTTACCTGTTTGGGCTAGAGTTCCGGTCTACAAACTATATAGCTGGTTGTTCGATTGTAATTTAAGTGAAATTGAAAATACCAATCTTAAAAGTTATCCTAACTTGGGATCTTTTTTCTGTCGATCGCTAAAATCTGGTGTCAGACCAATTGATGATTCAGACCTTGTACATATATTTAGGTTTTTTTTTGAAATTAATATTTATTTGTTTTTTTGAAAATATTCTTTATATATATATATATATATATATACACATATACATATATGTGCGTGCACATTTATATCAAATTGAATAGGTATCGCCAGCAGATGGTGAAGTGATCATGTTTGGTTTGGTTAAAGAAGATAAATTAGAACAAATTAAAGGAAAGGTTTATTCTTTGGGTGCATTTTTGGGAAAAAAGAATCATAACAAAGATAATGATGCAACCACTACTATTCATGAAGTTGAAGTCGACAATGTCGATTCAATTAATGAAGACATAGCTATAATAGATGAGAATGAATTTGCTAATGTTAATGGGATCACCTACTCGTTGGATACATTGTTAGGGGATGATCTTGTTGATTCCAAAAAACAAGAAAGTTCAATTGGTGATGATGCGTCAATTGTTCCCAATAACAGCAGCAAGAATAGTGATGGTAGTAGTATTAATAATGAATCTAAGGAGGAAATTGTAGCAAAAAGTGTTTTATGGCCAATTAGTCCAATACATGGACATCATTTCAAAGAAGAAAGTAAGCTATATTTTTGTGTTGTATATTTAGCACCTGGTGATTATCATAAATTTCATTCACCAACAAATTGGGTTGTTGAATATAGACGTCATTTTGCAGGTATGTCATTTTGCAGATATATCATATACAGTATATATACATTCTATCTATCTATATATTTATTTATTTATTGATCAATTAATTAACTTTTATATATAATCTAGGAGAATTATATTCCGTTTCACCATATATGTTGAGAATATTAACAGATTTATTTGTGTTAAATGAACGTGTTGTGCTATTAGGGAGATGGAAACATGGATTTTTTTCTATGACTCCTGTTGGTGCAACTAATGTTGGATCTATAAAAATAAATTTCGACAAGGTACCTTCTACTTTGCTATTAATACAAATATATGTTTATAAATATTATTTATTAATTTACTTAATCTTTTCTATATTAAAAAAAAAGGCACTTTGTACAAATAAAGGTGAAGATTTAACAGTTGGTACATATACGGAAGCTTCATACAGGAAAGCTAGTAAATTATTAGGTGGTCAGCCTTTAAGAACTGGCGATGAAATAGGTGGATTTCAATTAGGTTCTACTATTGTATTAGTTTTTGAAGCACCAGATAATTTTAATTTTTCTATAAAACCTGGCCAGAAAATTAAATTTGGTCAAAAATTAGGAAATGTTTCTTAATCAATTTTTTTCACTTGGAAAATTTAAAATATATAATGCATAATATATAAAATTATACATTTTAATTCATATATCTATATATTACTCATTGACTAAAATTTCTTTTTATTCCCAATCTGTCCATTTGCCACTGCTGAAGTGTTATTATTATGATTTTTCTCTTGATATTTCCTCTGATAGAAATCCCGTGCATTATATGACCAATTCATTCAGACAAACATATCTGACCGCTATCTTATTTGCTACCTGGTCATATGGCCATCATTAAATGACAAGAATCTCCAAGCTGGAGATAATCTCTTCTTGATAATATTAAGTTTATTATTATCAAAAGAAAAAATCCTGGTATATCTTGATCTTGATAATTCATTATACATACATACCAAAAACTGTCTTTGATAATAATCTTCCTGAAACTAGAGAAATTGGTCAAAAACAAAGTTTATTACTACATAGACCATGCATATTACACCCAACGTATGGTGTTGTCACAACAGGAATTTTATTATTATTATTACAAAAAAATTTGCTAAATGCTTGTCCGAAATAAAATAAATAAATAAAAAAATTTGTATTTTATGCAAACTTTTTCAACGGATTATAATTACGATTATTATTATTATTATTATGTAGTAGTTTAAAATCCAAAAGGAGTCTTGATTCACCATCCTCAAGATCACTTGACGGCATTGTTATTGTTGGCGGTTGTGGTGGTGGCAATGAAGAAGATGATAATGTTGATGTTGTTGTTAATTCTTTGAACTTGGAGATGATTTGATTTGATTCTGACAATGATTGAATTTCAAGAAACAAATCATCTTTATATGAATTATGTTGTTTCAATAAAAATGGTGGCGGTGATGTAGATTGTAATGTTGGCTGTGATATCAATAAATTATCTTTTTTCTTTGATTTCCTAAATCTACTATTATTAACATTGGAAGTACCGAAATTTATCACATCTTCTTCAAGATAATTATTGTTTTTTTGTAAACTAATTTGATGCTTCAAAAGTTCATGAATAGTCAAACTCTCCCCATTTTCAATATTACAGTCATAAGATACAGTTTTACAACTTGTGCCTGCGCCTTTACGTAATACATGATCAATATCAACTGTTGAAAAAAACGCAGTGGACTTTATATGCAAAAGTAAATTAATTAATCAATATAATGTATTAAAGTAATGAATAAAGTTAATCATTTATTATTAAATTACATCTTACCAATGGTAAATCCTCAATTCCCATCATATAACTAAACATTGCTCTTGTCCATAAATTACTGATTTGCAATGCTAACGCAGCCCGATAACTATCATGTTCTTCAACAAGAAATCTTATTTCATCATAAATCGATATCATAAATCTTGCCTTTATATCATACTTCTCAATCAAATATTGCATAGAGACCAACAGCAAATGAAGATAATCAACTCCGGATGATTGAACTACCCAATTTATCTTTGATCTCATATATTCAGATTTAGATGCCCCCTTTTTCAATGCTTCAGTCATCCCACATTTTAAAACTGGTGTTCTAGGTGTAAATGAAAATGCTATATCTTCCAAACTATTAAACATATAACTTTCACTTCCTCCATACCAAAAATCATCATAAGGTATTTTTTGGGGTTTATTCTTGTTATCTTTGATATTTTTTGACGCAAATCTTTTACCTTTTGTGAAATTAAATAATTCTTCTGCGCGTTCAGATGCTTCTTTTTCTGTAATATTCAAATTACATTGTCTTAATAATTGTGCTGCAAACTTTAATCCAGCCCCATATATTCTACCATAATTAAATGTTTTTGCATCAGATCTTGAAATTTTTAAAATTTTGGCCGTTTGTGAATGCATATCTGTACTCTCACTTTTATTTCCTTGAATGGTCATCCAACTCATAGCTGTTGAACCATGAAATCCAAATTGTGAATCACCAATTAGACTTGATATCCACAACTCCTCTGAATCCACATCTGCTCCAATTATTTTATAACCTTTTGGAGCTTGTATTAAAGCCTTAAGTTCTGATCCTACTCGATTTTCCTCGATATTACTAACGGTCATCCAGGTACTTTCCACAGAACGACGTGTAATAGTTCCCATCGCTATTGTTTGTGGTAAAATCATTCCAATCTTTCCATCACCATCACCGTCATTACTATTATTCTGATTATTATTAAATTTTTTAAATCCCATATTTTTATTATGGTTTCTAATTTCAGGATGATTTTCATATACCACCATCTGGCCCAATGCACGTTCTCTAACTGATATCCAATATGAGCAACTAACACTTGTATCAAATACATTTTTGGTTATACTGTCGAACTCTGATGTTATTATTTTTTTTTCATAATCACTAAAATACTTTTTTGAAAAAGGTGTCATACAACGTGATTCATCATTAAGCTTATTAGGAACACAATAATAAATTCCATTTTTATCACTTGCAAGCAACTCGTCACCACCCAATAACGATTTTTGTTTAGGTTTTGATTTTCTCTTTGATTCTACTAATTCTTTTTCTACTTTTAAATGTTTTTTTGATTTCGCTTCTTTTATTAAAGATTCGAAAAATCCAACATCTGGTGATGATTTATCATTTTCATTTACATCAACAACATCATCAACGGCATTTCCATAATCAACATCAACATTGACAATACTATTAATATTATTATTAATATTATTATCATCATCATCAACTAGCATATATTCTTTTTTGAATTCTGTGGCATCATTTAAATTAGCAGATGTGAAATCTCTTTGTAATTGAAAACTAGATGACAAATCATTATCAATACTTTCCACTTCAAATACACATGGCTTTTCATTAGTTTTATAATTAGAATTTTTTGGTACTCTATAAGTCCAACCATATTGCATTGAATAATATAATGGAAATTCTTTCCACTTCAAACGTAACAAAATAGGGGTAACTTTCATTCTATGAGATAATTTTAGTCTACCCTCTTTAGGATCATAAATTTCTCTACACCATTTAGGATAACCGGGAAGAAATCTTGCATTATTTGAACTAGGTGACCAATCCAATTGTTTCAAGAATTCATCTTGCTCCACTTTGTCAGGATTTTTCATACCTTCTTCCAAAGTAGCTAATGCTAAATCTTCCAAATCTCGTTCCATAGACATACGTTGTGATTGAAAGATATTCTCAATCTTATTAACATGTTCATTCCAATCATTTGAAGTCGGTAAAAACATACTACCCATATGTAACATTCCAGCAAATGATACCGGATGTGGGCAAACATCAAAGAATTGAGGTAAAAGTTTACAATAAATTCTATGAATAGCAAGTACATCATTAGCACAATAAGTCATAATTTTCTGAAACATTCCTGGTATTAGCACATCCTCAATTGTTCCATTTACAAAAACTTCTTGTAATGATTTGTCAATATCTTCGTGACAATGTAATCTATAGACATCTTGAAGATTATTTATAGAACTAATGTCGTATATAGGCTTAAATCTTTTCGCATCATTCAAAAAATTTTCATTTTTTTCAAGCATGGCTTTCTGATACTTGATCCATGTTGAGCGTTGAGTTGAGGAAAGACCATTCACAACCATGTGTAAACATATTGTATCCAAAAATTTATTTTTAGAACCGCTACATGAATATTCTTCTAAAATACGTGCACGATCAAACCCTACATTATGACCAATTATTATACGATCTTGACTAATATTACCCATAGGAATCAAATTACCAATTTGTTTGGAATTATCATCATCATCATCATTATTATTATCATTATTGGTTGATCGAATTCCTTGTTTATATTCAATTAACCTTGGTGAAGTCCAAGCATACCAAGCAGTGGGAGAAGCAGCGCAGGCAATCATACCATAATCACCATAACTAGACATCGTTTCCACATCAAAACATAAAATCTGCTCCCTAGGATAATCCACAGGTTCTGGTACTTTATTTTTTACATAACGAACCCAACCTGGTTCAAATTTCCAATCTGATGGTGATGGCATTTCAGGTAATTTTCTTAAGTTTGCAAACTCTTTAGCAAGTTTAATATGTGGATTTGCTTGTTGATGACCTAAATACCAAAAATGTTCTGCTATTGTATTCCTCGTTAATTTTGGTAAATTGAATTGCGGTGGTAGAGATGGAAATTCTTCTAACTTTTTTTCAAGTAAATCATTTTTTTTCAAATGATCTAAAGATATAATTATATGTTTTTGATTAAGCTCAGGTCGCTTCTTACGTTTAAATATACTCTCGTAAAGCCATTCTGGTAACATTTTAACACCTGATGGATTAACATCTATATAAATAAAATATAAGCCAATTAATTGATTGGTTGTAAAAATTTTAAGTCTGATTTTTGAATAGATTTGGTGTAGTAAAAAAAAAAAAATAATAAAATAAAACCAAATCGACTAAAAATCAGTTTGACAACCTTTGATTAAAAAAATCAAATACCAGCATATTTTTGAATTTTATAAAACTTTAATATTAAAGAAACAATAAAAGGTAAGGGGAATCTATTATTATTTCTCATTGTTGCAGTTGACGAAGGTGATGTTGATGTTGATAATTGTTTATTATTATTAAATTTGATGTAGCTTTTTTGGTGCAAAGATACATCTATTCTTGAAAATCTCGTATTATAAAACATAGAAGTGTGTTTTAAAAACTTTGAATTTCCAAATTTTATCATTTTATAAATAATAAGATGGGTTGGTTGGTTTGACGCGCTTTTAAAAATGATCTACTATGAAAGTGAGAGGACCCGTGGATGATCAATTCGAATATCCATAAAAAAAACCCGGATTGACGACAAAAATATATGAACTTTTGTCGATCATCAAAAATAATCAAGTGACTTTGACATAATAAAACTAAATATTTTATTAACCTAATCGTTCTTATTTATTAAGTAGAAATCCTTTTTCATATCAAATTGTATAACATACTGAAGTCTTATTGCATATAAATAAAAATTGATTGTTCTATGTACCTTAAAAGACAAATTGAAAAATTTTCGACCACAATGGCAGGTTTTAACGTTTCTTCTTATGGTATAAGTAAAAATTGATGCAGAAATAAATGGTATTAAGGAAGACATTGCACAAATATTCAATAAAGGAAAATTTAATAATTGTAGTTTAATATCACTATTAATAATAATAAGTAGTTGCCATTAAATATACAAATTGCCAAATTGTAATTAAATTAATTAAATCGATAAATTGCTAATAATATAAAGAAGATAATTAAATTTTTTAATTTTATGATATTTACTATGTCGCGTACACATATGTACTAAAAATTCAATATGATGGTCACTGACGTCACTGACAGATATTGCTTAGATTATGTCATAACCGTGAAAAATATTGGGTCAGGTTACACGATCAAAATCATAGTGGGCTGCACGATAATTGTCTAAAGCATCATTGTTTCTAAAAACATCTGCCGTAATTAGTTATTTGTGGCGATGGTAACCATGGGGTAGTTACCATTATAAAATATTTACGGCTGCCGCAAATAATTACGGCCGCAAATAGTAACGGCAAATTTTCACTGTAAATGAAATTGAATTCAAAAATTTAGCTACTGATAATTCAAGAAAATTTTCTCGTGACTAATATGGCTAAATGACAATAATTACATTTAATCTTGAAAATATTTGCAGCAGTCGTAGTTATTTGCGAAGCCGTATCTACTTACAGCAAATGGCAGCTGCCAACGGCTATTTACGGCAAGTGTCTTTATTCATGATCAACAATGGATGAATTTGTAATTCACATATCAAATTAGCCAATCAGAATCTCATACCCAAACACTCACCCAAACTTTTCATTATGGATTTCAAATTGCATAGTCTCAATTTCACATACAACAGTTTCAAATGGTTTGGTTCAAACAAAAAACTTGGAGTTTAATAGCCTTTACTAAATTTATATAATTCATGTGTCCATTGTTTATTAATCAAAATATGGTAACACAAATTATTATTGCATTTCCGAGCATTGACTGTCTCCCTTTTAAAGCTGAATTGAACGAATGGTTTTTTTAAAACTCAAACATGTGGATCACACATTATATTTCAAATTTTTTAACTTTCGAGTCGCACTATACAAAATTTATTATTGCATAATTCTCATTCAAAACATATGAAAAAAAAATTGACTAAATGATCCGCACTGTATGTTTAAAAAGAATTTTAGATCGTCAAATCACGAGATCACCTCGGATAATTATAATTGAACTGGTGGTATGAAGAAAGACATCATAAAAAAGTTGTCTTACTAAATGGCAAGCTAGTTTCCTTTTTTGGTCCATTTTTTTTTTACAATTACAATTATCCGATGCCCTATCACGAGTTCGGTATATATTAATATATGATTTTATCGACAAGAGTAATTTAATGTATTACAATAAAATGTCACAACAATATTAGAATTTAATTATAAAGTTTGTTGTAGAGAACAGATTGGTCATTGGTCACGGGTTTGCTTAAAATTCTGCCAGTTAATATATCAATATTTACTGGTAGATACGCTACTGAATTGTAAGTTTCAGGAGAATGGATGATATATCCATTCAGATGTCCATATACAATACGAAGGAGCCGTCTAAAATTTAAATTACATAAATACGTCAAAGCTTGCGAGATGAATGAATGACCAAAATAGATAGATATGTCAAAACTTGTGAATGTATTCACATGTATGATTATTAGTGTTAGTATTGTTTTTTGTTTCACAAATATTTTTTATGATCGATTTTATTTGGGCAAAATTTTTTAAAAATTTTTTTTTAAAAAAAAACCCCTTTAGAAAAAATATAAATTTAATAAATTAAAAAAAAAAAGATACAAAAAGAACCACCTCCATCAGCTGTGCTGATAATCATAAGCTTCATATATTTATATAAAAAAAAAGTCTATTTTCGTTGAATATCATATATTCGGATTTTTTTCTTGATAAAAAAATATCGACCATTAAATAATTGGTTGTAACTTAATCCAGCAGAAATGACAGTCACCGCCAAGACTACCACAACAACAACAACACGACAATCAAACAAAAAAATTAAAAATAAATTTATTTCTTTGCTAACCAATAACAATTCCTCCACCTCCCTTACCTCTACCTCACCCAGCATGGATACATCTACTTCTGAGACTAAAAAAAAATCAAATACCAAATATAAATTATTTAAAGCTTGGAGCCAGTTACAAGATTCTGAATACAAGAGTCTAGGAAAAGCTTTGGACAAGTCAGTTTTTGTTTTCAACTATTAAAAATTAATTTTTAAAGTACTTTGAAAGCCATCATTTATTAAGCATATATACATACATGTTTATTTTTAAAGAACAGATTTCAATCTAAAGATCGTCACAAAGTTGAAACTCTAAAAGCCATAGTAATTCCTTGGTTAAAGAAACATATAACAGGTAAAAAAAATTATTAAATTTCTTTCAATTGATTTTTTTCTTCAATTTTCTAATTCATTATTAATAATTATATTTGAATAATTATATAACAATTATATAGTAAACTCATCTGATAAAGGACTGCAATATGGTCGAATGATATTTTTGAAATGGTAATATTACATCGTAGTAATTTAATCACAAACAATAACTTATATATTTAATAATTTTAATCAATTTTTTGACTCACCTAAGGTGGAATCTTCTGATAACATTTTTACCTGAAGCAGCTTACACTGATCGTACTTTGTATTTTGAATGCATTTTGATGTTGATGACTAGGTTAATAAAAACTATCATTTATTTATTTATTTATTTATTTATTTATTTTATTTATTTATTTATTTATTTATTTAGTAATCATTATAAATTATTAAATTAATTTTAATATTAATTTTAGAAATGAATTTGACAATTTAGGTAAGAAAGAAGCAATAAATCACTATAATAATTCAACAAAAGTATTAACATTAAATTTTGCTTGATGTAGATCACATTGGACCAATTCCTCAAACTGCAACTGTTAATTATGTGGATATTCCTATAGAGACAATATTTACCTATCGTGCTGCTTTAATGAACACTTTGAACTATGCTATTGACAGATTAAATCAAAAAGGTGTATACTCCAATGTGATATCTTTTTGTGCTCGTGTATTAGGTAACAAAATATTTATTACTTTAAGAAAGTTATTTGAATAATAATAAAAAGTTCCTATCAACATACTTTATTTTTTTATTTTTTTTAATGAACAATTTTCTAGCAATATGCTTCTTCAAGATTCCTGGTGTAGGGTTTGCATTATTACAAGCTTTACCTGTTAGTAAATCCCACATAAAAAGAATGTTAAATGAAACCATTGGTGATGAAGATAAAAGGTTATTCATTACAATTAATATATTATTTAATTTTTTTTTTAAAGAAAATAACATTAAATTAAATATTAAAAATTTCAAAAAATAATAATATTATTATTAGTATTGAACCGATTAAAAAACAAAATGATGAGACTGCTTCATTCTTTCCTAATCATTTAAAGACGTTATGTTATCTCAATATTAGAACATGGTGGCAACAGTTAGAAGATGCTAAAAAATCAAGGGGTAAACCTCCAATTGAAATGAGTGGAAATTGGATACGTAGGTTAGTAAATCTAAAGTTAATATTATATATATATGTATATTAATTATATTATAATTATCTACATACTTATTTATTTATTTATATTTTAGATGGAAAAGTGATGACAGTGAATTGTTTTTTTCATTTTACAAACATTATCACATAGTTTTAAAAACGTATTTAAACATTCCCAATTCAGTTGCCTTCAAATCAATAACTCCTCCTTTAAAATATCTTACTGCCCCAGGATATATTCACTTAGCAACATTTTTTCTGCTTAAAATAGAATCTTTAATTCATCGTAATATTCATACAATCACCACAGTAATACAATTTGAGCAACCGAAGGGTAATAATAGTAATAATATTCCTCTAGATGCTGCAGATATTGGTATAGGATCCTTACCTGCAACTAATATTAGAGTTGGTAGCAATAAAAACAAAAACAATAATAATAGTAATTTAGATTATCACAGCAACGATGGAAATTCAAATTTAGGTAACAACGGTAATAACGTAACGGAAATTGGCGCATCAGTAATTAATAATAATAATGATGTTATTAGTAATTCAGGTAAACCTAAAGTGTTAGAGACGGCCAGTAAAAGGTTTGTTGAAACAATGGTTGCTATTGTGGAAAATGGTTATTTTCAAGAGATGTGTAATGTTTGGATAAAGGCTGTTGTAAAGAAAACTAATATGTATGACGCAGAAAGTGTATTCTGTAAGTATTTAAACATTTAAAATGTTTAAAGTTTACATGTATATATATTTTTAATAAATTAAATAAATAAAACGATTTTTTTTAGGTCTATTAGATTTTATTGATACGCTAATAGTGGAATTAGACACAAGGTAATTATTAGTCAATCAATAATCATTAATTTATAAGACCAAAGATACAATGACAAATAATGTTTTATTATTAACATCATTAATTATTAATATAATATATATTAGAGACAGTATTATAATGTCGATAGAACCATCAAGTCCAGGTTCAGTTAGCAGTAATGATAGTTCTAATGATTCAAATACTGCTTTATTTTCACCACCGAATCTTACAAACATAATTGATGTATCGTTTTACATCTCATTGGTCCAAATTTTACTTAAAAATTCTGATCATTCCATAACAATCTTAAGAACAATTAGTTTTATATATACCCATTTTACACTCTTAACATCCCAATCTAACCACCTAAAACACTTAGTCAAAGACACGCTTTTAAATGAACAAATTTTTGAACAAATGTTTTGTCATTGGTCAAGAAATATTAGAATATACTACATGCGTTTATTGGTATGGAGAGTGGGTAGAATGGCTGGAAGTATTAAGAAAAATAATAAAAAACTATTAAATTATATTAATGGTGACGGTGATAACGATGACGATTTTATTGGAGAAAATAGTTATGTTATAATCGAGTAAGTTTATTTATTGATAATTTAAATAATTAAATAATTAAATAATCAAATAATCAAATAATTAATATTTTCCATCACTGCTCCCAAAAAATAGCATGTTAATCACCTTACAAAACAGATTAGAAAATTTACAAACATGTTTTGAATTCATATCAAATTATACTGGAGAAATGAAAGATCTTCAAAATGCTATAAAGGCCAAAATCGAAGAAAATATTCAAGGAACAAAAAATTATGATAAAAACAATCAAATCAAATCGTATATTTACCCACAAATATCTCCGCCCATCGATTCTAATAAAAATCCTAATGGAAATCAACACAAAAGAAAAATTTCAACAACGACTACTACCATAATTCAATGGATGCTAAAAAATAATCAACAAACAACGTCTTCGCTAACGTCGTCGTCGTCGTCGTCGTCATCTACTATTACTAACATTAGTACTTCATCGCTAACAAAAACAATTGATTCACCATCACAAACTGAATCACCATCACAAACGTCATCATCACAACAACAACAGCAACGTCATCAACATCATCACAGTTCATCATCAACATCATTAGCATCATCATCGCTAACGACTACAGAACAAATTAAACAATCAAAACCTTTACTATGGCATTACCCTTTAAACATACATGTATACGTTAGTAAAGCTATTTTTGAATACGAGGCAGTAAATCAGGATTATGCTGAATGGTGTGGTCAAGTTACTAGTCTTGACAATAATAATAATAACAACAATAAAAACATAGGAAATAATGGTGATTACAACATAAATGATCATAATAACTGGATAGAAACAAAATTTCCTAAATTAACAGTCGATTATCCAAAATATTTTGGAAATGGACTTGTAAATACAATGTTTTAAATTAATATCAACATTATTAATAATACTACCACCAATAATTCTCTCTCCTCCCTTTTACTTACCTTCTTTCTTTCTTTCTTTTTTATCAATTCAATAAAAAAATAAAGAACAATTCAATATTGAATTGAAATTTTGGAGAAAATTTATTTATTTAATATTTTACATTTAATATCACATTCTTTAAACCGCCTTTTCCCCTTCACACTCTTTTAAAATAGTAGTAATTTGTTCACGGGATTTTCCAATATGTAAATTCAAGGCATATTTAATTAAAAGCAATGGATTAACCTATTTGAACAAATTTGCTGCTTCTCCACTAATTGTAACTATTCAATATAATTGCTTCCTTTGGAATATATTAATAAAAAAATAGTCCGCGCCCGCATTTATATTTGTAACTTATTAGGGCTGCAACAATTGAAGATCAATTAGTTACAGTTTTGTATGATTTTGACACAGGCTCAAAATAGGAAAGAAAAATAATATTTATTTTATTAATAACATTAAAATTAAAATTTATTAATGAAAATTAATTATATTTATTTATTTATTTCACGCTTTTTTAATTAATTTCTTTTGTTTCTTTTTTAACTCACGCTTCCTTTCTTTTTCTTCATACTAATGTTTTTAAAAAATTCATTAATAAATAATTTCTCTTTTTCAAAAAAAAGAAAAAAAAGGAAAAGAAAAACATTTATTCAAACCTTTCTTTGCTCTTCAGGTGACAATTTTGCAATTCTTTCAGCTTCGGAACGTTTCTTTTCAACTTTCTTTTGTTGAATTGCCTTTTTAATAAATTTGGTAAGGAAATAAATCAATCTCGAATGATTTACAAAAAGTGATATTTAAATTAAAACATGACAATCAAATAATTACTTCTAATCTTTCGGCTTCAGTTGATTTTAAAATTCTTTTGTTTGCTTCTTCTCTGTTTCTTTTAAATTTATTCTTGGTCTAATAATAAAATCAATGTAGTAGATTTGTCAATTAAAGAATATATCAAGCAATTAATATTATCCAATATAAATAATTAAGGAACAAGCACCTCTGGTGCAAAAGAGCATCTCGTAGATACTAAATCGATCAACAACATTGTCAATTCAGTGATTTTTAAAGTTCTTTGTATTTCTGCTGGATCGTTTTTAATTTCATGTATAACTGTAATAGTCTTAGGATAAGTCAAAGATGGCCTGAAATAAATTGATAGCAATTAAATTAGTTAAATGATTATTACAAATACTAGTAATACTAGTCAAAATTAATTACTTTTCTGGTCTAATACGCGGTTGATCACTAATAATAAATGCAATTAAATAATCTTCAGTTTCTTTTAATAAATCAACAATTAACTTCGTAAGAATTGTTTCGGTCACGTCTATTGATTCACTGTGGACATTTAATGTTGATGGTAATAAATTATTATTACTTTTTTTGGTGAATTCACTCTAAAATAAATAAAATTAATAATCATAATAATGATAATATAAAAATAAAATTATTAAAAACATTTTTTACCAAGTCGTAACGAGACTCGACGAGTGATTTTGATGCGGATTTTTTGGTCACAGCAAAAACAAAATCATCATAATCATGATCATTCATGAATATTTGGTAAGTCTAATAATATTAATAAGAATGTAACGATTGATTGATTGAAAACGCAATTAAATATTTAAATATTATAAAAAGAACTTACAATTGTATCAAGTAATTTAACATTTGGAGTAAACTGAGTTAGGACAAAATCTGTTGTTGTCTGTAATATATCATGCCTTGGTTTAAGCTATTAATATTAATAATAACATCAATCAATGTTAACATTATCATTGTATCAATTTAAATCTTAATCTAATTCATAATAATAATAAATTTTACTTAACAGTTATTCTACCGTGAATATATTTGCAATTTCTTCTACCACTTAAATAAAATAAATAATCTGCTGGTCCATCTTTTATCAAGGCTTTATCATTCTCATTTCCAATCAATGAAAAATTATGTTTGAATATTTGAATATTCATTGACATCCTTTTTAAAAAAAGACATAAATTTAAATTTATACCAGTAATTGATTAGTTGATTAATTAAAATAAACCTTACCAGTATTTTGCAATATTCTCATTTTTGATTTTACCAATAAAATAATTTATTAAATATAAAACAATTGAAATGCATATAAACATTTCGCCATAAAAATCTGAAATTTGAAGCTTTTTACGCGCTACGAAAAAATTTATTCATTTATTATATTGATAATTGAAAATCAATAATAAAAATAGCGAGCTATATCAACATCGTAATGTTATATACGTAAATTACTTACTTAACACATTAATGGGTTTTGGTTCAGGAATTTCTATAATGGGTTCCTCAATATCAATATCATTATTGCTGGTAGTTGCGGTTGTATAAGTTAGATGATCGCCTACAAGTTCTTCATCATCAAAATCATCTGTTCAAGATTATGTGTCAGTTAACAAAGATCAACCTAACTTTTTAAATGATACAAATGAAAGATTACCTGCTAATACTACTACATTCAAAAGCTGTAATAGCAGAAAGTTGATTATTAAAAAGTAAAGTATATATTTTAAGCTTTGTTTCATTTTGCTAAATATTATAATTGTCGCTAATTCATTTAATATTAATATCGAGAATAAAATTTGTGAATTGGGTGTCACATAAATACGCTAATAATATCACGTAATTATTTTAAAACACATTTCAAAAAATAAAACATGTCTTTAATAGAGTCTGACAACAAAGTGCTGATCAACACTAGAGCTGGAGGCGTATATATTCCACCTGCTAGATTAAGGCAACTTCAACAAACCATAACTGACAAATCTAGCCAAGAGTACCAAAGAATCACCTGGGAAGCTTTAAAAAAAAGTATAAACGGTTTAATCAACAAAGTAGGTAAAAAAAAAGTTGATCCACTACCTGTCCGTTCAAAACTTGTGAGTTTTTAAGTTGCTAACTAATTCATATTTACTTTTTTTTCAAAATTAGGTTAGCGTTTCAAATATAAAGAGCATCGTAGTTGAACTTTTTGGTGAAAATCTAATAAGAGGCAGAGGTCTTTTTGCAAGATCTGTTATGAAAGCACAGGCTGCATCATTACCTTTCACTCCTGTTTATGCAGCTTTAATTGCAATAGTTAACACAAAATTGCCTCAAGTTGGTGAATTGGTGCTTATTAGACTCGTTGCACAATTCCGTAAAGCATATAAACGTGATGACAAGGTATGTCACTTATTTTATTGTCTATGGATAATAACAATATTCATGGATACTAATAAAAGAATTAAAATATTATTTTAGAATGCATGTTTAGCAACAACAGCCTTCATTGCTCATCTTTGTAATCAATTAGTTGCTGATGAGATAGTTGCACTACAAATACTAATGTTATTGCTTAAACATCCTACAAGCGATTCTGTTGAGGTAGCTGTAGGATTTATGCGGGAAGTTGGCGCCCATTTAACAGATATCACTCCGAGAGCAACTAATGATGTTTTTGATCGTTTCAGAACAATATTACACGAGGCTAATATAGAAAAAAGAGTTCAATATATGATTGAAGTTTTATTCCAGACTAGAAAAGATAAGTTTAAAGATAATCCATCGATCATTGCAGAATTAGATCTGGTTGAATCAAAAGATCAAATTACCCACTATATCCAGTTAGATGATGAATTAGATGTACAAGAAACACTTGGTATATATTTATTTATTTATTTATTTATTTATTTATTTGTTTGTTTGTTTGTTTGTTTATTTATTTATTTATTTATTTATTTATTATTTATTTATTTAAATTATATTTTAAACTTTTATTTTAATTTTATCATTAGGTATTTTTCAATATGATATTGACTATCTTCAAAACGAACAAAAATATGATCAGATCAAAAAAGAAATATTGGGTACTTCAGATGATGAAGAAGATGATGATGAATCAGGAACTGATAATGATGGCGACGATGATAATGATTCTGAAGATGATGATGATGAGGACAAAGGTTTATAAAAGTTTCTAAATATTATATTTCATTATATCTTTAAATATTAATTGGGGTCTATAATTTTTTATAGGTGCAGTGGAGAAAATGAAAATTATTGATCAAACAAATACAAATATCATAAATTTACGAAGGGCTATTTACCTTACCTTAAAGTCAAGTCTTGATTTTGAAGAATCTTGCCACAAGATTATGAAAATGAACATTAAAGAGGGTCAAGAGGTAATCTTCGTTTTATATATATATAATTTTTTTGTAAATTTGATTGTTACAACCAAAATACTCAATATTATTGTTATTTTTCCTTTGTGATTTAGATGGAGTTATGTTTGATGATAATAGAATGTTGTTCTCAAGAAAGAACTTACGAAAAATTTTTTGGACTTATTGGTGAAAGACTTTCCAAAATCAATGCAATATGGGCAAAAACTTTTGAAAAATGTTTTGTTGAATGTTATGAAACAATCCATCGTTATGAGTCAAATCGACTACGTAACGTTTCAATGTTTTTTGCACACATTCTATCAACTGATGCAATTTCCTGGGAAGTCTTCCGAGTAATAAGACTCACTGAAGAAGACACTACATCCAGTTCAAGGATCTTCATTAAAATATTATTTGAAGAACTATCCTCTACATTGGGTATGGTCAATTTAAAAAATCGTTTAAAAAGTGACCCTGTTATATTATCAGATTGGACTCAAGGACTATTTCCTAAAGATAGTCCAAAAAACACTCGATTTGCAATCAATTATTTTACGTCTATTAAATTAGGTGCATTAACAGATGATCTTAGAGAACATTTGGCAGTAAGTATATTAAAAATAGATTTGGTTGTTTAAAAAATATTTTTGTTATTATTAAAAAACTTTACCAACTAATCCAAATTACCTATAAATTTTTTAAGAATGCTACAAAATTGCTTGCAGCACAAAGCAAAAAATTAAGTGAAGATACATCATCTGATTCTTCATCTGATTCTTCATTTGATTCTTCAGATGACGACGATGATTATAGTGATTAATGATAGATGATAATAGTGCAATGATGATATGATAATATTATTTTCGGATATATTAATTGTTATAAATATTATAAAATAAAAAACAGAGATTAATAAAACTATTTAAATACAACTATTTTATTAACTAAAAATGAAAAATTTTCAAATAAAATAAATATTTATATAAAATGTTTAGGTTTCTGTTTCAAGGAAGAAGTAATTGCCATTCAATTTTTGGTCTTTATCTTTTGATGATCCAACTTTATTAATTCTAGGCCTAAAATTAGTTGGATCACGTCTAAATGTAATCTCCAATGATGAAAGGAATTTATTCATTCCTGATAACAAAGATTGCGGTCTATATGATTTTTGACAAATTATCAATAAGATAGATAAATATATTGGAAAATAAAATTTAAAGTGAAACAGAATAATAAATTTAAAAAACTTACGAATTAGCAAGCGCTTTAACAGAAGGTTGACCTTCATATACAACAACACGATCTGCTAAATATGTAGCCATTATAAAATCATGCTCAACAACAAATGCAGTCTTTTTATTGTGTAAGATAAACCTATAAATGGTGATAATATTGTTATTATAAGAATTAATGAGATTTTAAAGAATGAATGTAATATAATGAGCATTTGTGTACCTTTTGATAACTTTTGCAGCAATAATACGTTGTTCTGAATCTAAATAAGCAGAAGGTTCATCAATCAAATAAATATCGGCAGGTTGACCTAATGCAAGCACAATAGCAACACGTTGAAGTTCACCACCAGACAAATGTATAACTTCTTGATCTATAATAGGATCAATTTGCATAGGTTTGACAACATCAGTTTGAAATTGTGCATGCATAAATGCTGGTTTGATCTTTTGAAGAAAAAGTGTTCTGACTGTTCCTTGATATTTAGGTGAAATCTTTTGAGGTTTATAACTAACATTTAACTCTGGCACATGTTCTTCACCATCAGGTTTTGTTATACCAGCTAGAAGACGGATAAATGTTGTTTTTCCTGTTCCATTTTCACCAAGCATAACAATAATTTCTGAATCAGTAAACTCTCCAGCATTAACAGTCAGATCAAAATCACCTAAACAATAATTAAGATATATATTAATAACAATATTCATAAAATTTTCCGGAGATTTTGTTTATAATTAATACATCATTATTACCTAAAGTTTTCTTCATGTCTGGATATTGATATCTTCTAAATTTATCAACTTCTTTTTCATCTTCTGCGGTTTCTGCTAATTTAAAAGTCAAAGATTCATCACGGAATCTTAAATTTTCCGTTGGCACTTTACCATCCAAGAAAATATTAATGCCTTCACGAACAGTAAAAGGCATAGTAACGACACCATATATTGATGGCATTCCATAAAGCACACAAATAAAATCAGAAAGATAATCTAAAACTGACAAATCATGTTCAACAACGATTACATAACTAAATATAATAATTAATTCAATAATTAATATAACGATAATATTGTTATTGTTATTGTCATTAATATAAATACTTTTTATTAACCTTTCTGGCTTTAATAAAGATCTTATTGTTCTGGCTGCTTTTAGACGTTGTTTAACATCCAAATAAGATGAAGGTTCATCAAACATGTAACTATAATGAAAATTCGTAAATATTTAACAATTAATATTTGAAAAATAATTAGATCTTTTTAATTCAAAACTTGTACATATATTTATTCATTATATGGGACTTACATATCAGCATTTTGAATACACACAACAGCGATAGCAAAGCGTTGAAGTTCTCCACCAGATAATTCATTAACTTGACGTCTCAGTATTTCACGCAAATCCAAAGCATCAATCATTTCTTCCTTATTATCACGTTCTAACTTTGCATCAATTAACTCAGTAACTACACCTTTAACAGCTCTTGGAATGTGATCAACATATTGTGGTTTGATAATAGCCTAATATGTATATTTTATCTACTTGTATTTAATTAGAAAATATTTTATTATATTTGGAATAAAATAAAAAATTACCTTTAAATTATCTTCTAATATTTTTGTGAAATAATTTTGTAATTCTGATCCACGAAAGTATTTTAAGATTTCTTGCCAATCTGGAGGATCCTTTTATTGTGCAATATATCAAAATTAAATAAATTAATGAATTAATATAAACTATATTATATAATTCAAAGTAGTAAAAAGTAGTAATATTAACAAAGAATTTATAATTACATCATATCTTCCTAAATTAGGTTTCAATTTTCCTGCCAAAATTTTCAAAGCAGTACTTTTTCCAATACCATTTGTACCAACTAATCCAAGTACTTGACCTGGTCTAGGAATAGGCAAACGATGAAGTTTAAAAGAGTTGGCAGAGTAACGATGAGTTACCAATTTTTCTAGATTAGTTGGAAGGTTAATGATCATAATAGCACCAAATGGACATTTTTTGATGCATATACCACAGCCAATACATAATTCTTCTGAAATATAAGCAATCTTGCTATCAGGTGTCACCTCGATACAAAGTTTACCTATATATTATATAAAGTTATTAAAAAATTTTTTTATTGAATCGTTTTTTCCACTCAATGAAGATGGTGTTAACTGACTTACCCATTCTAACCACTGGACAAGATTTTTTACACTCTTGTCTACATTTTTTTGGTTTACACTTGTCCGAATTTACAATCGCAATCCTTGTAAGTTTGTCAGTCATTTTTGTATTATTTTTACAATAAAAAATTTTTAAAACTTTACTGATTTGTGACGTATTTTATCAATTTCTATTGGATTTTGTTTGATTGGTTGATAAATAAATAACAGGGGTATTCCCCGATATTTTTGATCGGTCCTAATTATACTTGGGGGTTACCACCCTCGGCATCAGGCGCAGGAAAGGAGCGCTATATAATAAACATCTCATTTTTTACACACAACCTTGCAAATGAACTCCTTTCAGTCATGACACCAGAACTGGTTCCTCATAACTTCATTCGTGATGAATGAATATGGTGAGATTTGAAAAGTTTTCTGGCTGTTTGTTTCATATGCTCACTTTGTCTTGTTTTGTTGCAGCACACTCCATATGGGACCAAGAAAAGACCGTGCAGTGCAGAACATAGAAGGAATACATTTATCTCCAAGTCCCAAGTTTGAGACTTGGACACAGGGTACACTTATGGAGGGTACAATTATAGAGAGTTGATTGTATATCAATTGATTGACTACTTAAATATAATATTATAATATAACAATAAAAGAATTTTATGTTTTATTGATTTCCCCAATACCTTTTTTTCAAAATGCATATTAATATATTTTTCTAAAAAAACTATTATAAATTATAGATTAATAAAATTTTGTACCTATCTATCATAAATATTGGAATAGAGTTGATGTTATACTAATAAGATAATAAAAGATGAATTAATATATCAATATATTAACATAAATACAAATTACTATCATCACTTACTTTGTTAAAAATCTAATTAATACAATTTTTTTAAATTTAGAAGATAGAAGGAATGAAAGAAGGAATGTGAGAGGAAAGAAAAATTGGTACAATTAAATCTAACAGGCTATTAAAAAATATATAGAATAATAATATTATTATTATTACATTAGTACATGTAAAATGTAAAACTCATTACAATCCAAAATTTCAAACAAGGCCAAAAAAAAAATAATATAAATACCAATTTATATTTAATCCAGTAAAATTATTCTCAGCAGAACAAGAGAAAAAGATGAGCTTTTTTTTGAAAAATTTTCTATAAAATAGGAAAAAATATATATGTGCATTCCTGAAAACACAAATAATATTAAGTATTCTATATATATATATATATATATATATACACGCATATACATATACATATATATATACATATTGGTCAGTAATTAATTTTATGAAAAAAAATTTTTTTTGAAAATAAAAGAATTGAAAAAAAGGAAATCAGTAAATTAGGAACAAGTAAAATAAGATGATAATGGTATTTATAAGCCAATATTGTTGATTAAAAATGTTATTAGAGAAAAAATATTTTAAAAAAAGATGATATTAATCTTTTTTAATGACGATTATGACTTGCGTTTCGAGGAGAACGGCTATGAGAACGACTTCTTGATGAATAACTTCTGCTACGACTTCTAGAAGAATTAGATTGACTTGTACGCGAACTGTAGGAACTGTAAGAATAAGATCTTCTGCGACGAACTGGTGGTGATCTTGATCTAGATCTAGAATATCTTCTTGGAGATCTTCCACGCCCACGATAACTGCTAGCTGTAAATCGTCGAAACGGTGGTGGCGAATTGTATCTCATAATTGCTTTTTACAATAAAATAATAATGATGATGGTGACGGAAATAGCAATCAATATATAATTATAAATCATGAATCAACCATATTTTATATATATTTTAAAAATTAATACATACGTCTACGTCTAATTGGAGGTGGTGATGGTTGACGACGTGGAACAAATGTACAAGATAACGTATTTCCATCAAGTTGACCCTATTTCATATTAGTTAATTGCATTACTAAATATTTTATTAAAAATTAAGAATTAATGATTAATGATTAATGCATTAATTACCCCATCCATATAACTTATAGCTCTTTCTGCATCATTTCCGGTTTCAAAATCAATATAAGCTGTACCTTTATTTGTTTGCCCTTTTTAAAATTTTGAAAATATACAATATATTTTCATTCAGATAATTTTTTAAAAAAATTTTTAACACCCAATTAATGAATATATGACATCATCACATACATTTTTCATCAATCAATACTTCTATTCGATTAATCCTACCAAATGCACCAAATATTTCTTGTAAATGAGCTTCCTTAACATTTTTTGTTAATTTATTAACCATAATTTTTGTAGGAAGTATGGGCGATAAAGAGGAACGCCGTTGTCTACGCGAAGAAGAGGTGTAATTGTGATGACGCGAAGAAGAAGTTGGCGGTGGTGATCTAATGGAGTTACGGCCTCTTGTTGTTGATGCTGTTGGTGCTGCTGGTACTGGTGATCTATTTTCTCTACTACTAGAATAGGAACCACTACGTGAAGAATATGATGAATAAGAATGACGACTTCTTGAGCGTGATATGGAGCGTGGAGGTCGACTCCTTGGTCGACTTCTACTTCTTGATGTCCTTGTCCTATATATTGATTGAATTTTTTTTGATTAGGAGTTTATTTATACTTAAAAAATTTTTTTGATTATAATGAATATTATTACATTTTACACCGTTGACTATTGATGTATTTTTAAAAACAGCTTTTAGTAGTAGCAGTAATGAGTAACGATAATGATGTTAGCAGTATCGATAGATCTACAAAGTCCAAAAAGTGGTTTTTTAAAAAATTAAAAAAAAAAAATTAATAATATATAAAATTTTTAATATAATAAAATTTGATGATAATAATACAAAATCATCTACATCATTATTAACAACAACAACAACAACAACAACAACAACAAAAGAATTCAAAGTAGAAGACGGCGAGGAAAACAGGAGAAATTAACTGGGATTGTCCTTGTCTAGGAGGAATGGCAAATGGACCTTGTGGTGAACAATCCAAAGTGGCATTTTCTTGTTTTGTTTATTCAAAAGAGCCAAAAGGCTTTTATTGTCTTGATGCATTCAAAGATCCTGATGTATATGATGATAATTAATTTTTTGAATGATTTTTTTTTAGAAGCTAAAGAATGGTGATATTATCATGATAATAATGATGATAAGATTAATTGTTTGTTTTGTCTTCCATCTGTGAATTTTTTTACAACTACAACAATTTCTTCAGCACCATCACAACAAACAAAACGTAATCTTAATTGCATTAGAGGATGATTATAATGATCAAAAATTAATTTTTATTATAAAGTTTGGTTTTGACCAGTTCTATATGATATAGACTTTACTATGATCACTTAAATTTTTGATTTTTGGCTTCTGAAAAAATTCATCCTAGAATTTTGATCTAGTGGGCCTTACTAATTACTAATTTAACATGAGAAGAAATTGTTACAGTTGTCTGTTTCTTGGTTTTTTGGTTATGACTCAATGTTTATTACCTTAATATCAAAACCACTGGTAATCGCAGTGCCTGATGACTCTTTTAAAAGACTAGTTCTTGGGTCATGTGTCACAATTAAATATGATCTAAATCATAATTCCCTTTTTACTAGATGGCATATGGAAGAGTCTTAAAGATGCAACTACTTCTTCTTGAAAAACTTCCACCTGGAAAAGCCCTAATCAAACTTTACCCTAATCAGAGGAAAAACAAATCATATTAAAATGGACTGATATAACATTGATATATAGACAAAATCTATTTTAGCATTTGTTAAAAGAATACAAAAAAGAAAAAAGAAAGAAACATTGGCAGCAGCAGCAATATAGAAAATCATTGGTTGATTATTTTTCAATTGATAACAATTAAAAAAGTATATATGGGGCATGCAGGACCTTGGACAATCATATATGTAAGAAAACATAAAAAGTTGTGAAAAATACTCAGAATATCTTACTAAAATGGCTAGTGAGTTTCCTTTTTGGGATTTTTTAAAACCCATGGAGATGTTTCATTGTTATCAATTCATTAGGATTAATTTTATCAACATTTATCCAATGTTGTAATTGATCAAGGTTTAAAGGTGCATAAACTTTGGTGTTACTAAAAATAACATAATAAAAATTATTGAGGGTTACCGTCAATTTTTATTATGTAAATGCTTGAAGATCTGATTGGTATTTTAACAAGATCACTCACTACCCACTTTTCTCAATACCAGTTCAATTATAATTGTCCAAGATCCTGGGCATGCTGCAACAAAAACCAGACAAAGTTAACATTTGTACTACAAATGTAATTGTTGTAAATTATTTTGTACTTAAATAATAATACGTGGGGCGTTTGAAAAGTTTTGTCACTGGTCCTGTAACTTTATAATTTTGAGTATAATTAATTTAAATTTTTTTTTAAATAAAAGACACTCTATTCCTTTTTCAAATAAAAAATAAATTGTT